CCAGAGTGCATATTTTATGGTAATGATAAATCTCATGATATCCTTACACTGTGACTTATACATGTACATCTTTTATTTTCTGTTGTAGTAATTTAAGTGAGTAAAAACCTCATATCAAACTAAGAATTCATGCCTGCAAAGATGTTTAGATTCTAATTTCATCTCGTTCTATATGGCTGTAATTTCAGTGTAAACAATGGAAAGCGTTTGAAAGTGGCGCCAATAACCTGTAACACATTCAATGTTGCTGACGTAGCTCATGCCGCACAAGAGAAATAAGGGAAACCTTTTCACAACACAGTAAAATTCTATTGTAATAGAAGGCTGAAGCACTGGTATAATATTATAATAATTTATGTTATAAGGACTACCTACATGTACAATGAAAGTAGCAGTAAATGCCTAGGCATAAAGTCTATTGGTTGATGTATCCAATCAGAGTAAAGCATATTATTCATTGAAAGAGTCCAGCGTAATTTTTGTAAATTTGTATATAAACAAGTTGGCTGGGACGTGGACACACAATATGAAATTATGTGCAATACTTTAAATATAGCCACGTTAGCAGCACGCAGAGATTATTGTGATATGGTTTTTATGTATCAGTGTGTCTTAGGATTGTACAGTTGTTGTAAATAATCTTTTTTCAGTTTACATATTCCATGTAGTTTTAGGAAAATGTCTCTTATTATTGTACCAATTGGATGCATTGAAGTCGCTAGGAATGAGTTTTTAAGTAGTTTGTCTAGGCTTTTTTTTAATAAAACATAAACTGCGGAATTTTTAATCTGGGATTGTCTACTTTAAAACAGAAGCTTATTAAGTCTATTATTTTCTAATTGTAATTTTGTATGTATACTGTAAGTTGTATTCAACAAATGTGTTTACTAACACACCACTGTTATTGGCCTTATATGGCTGTTGTTGTTGTATTAAATAAATAAATAAATAAATAAATAAATAAATAAATAAATAAATAAATAAATAAATAAATAAATAAATAAATAAATAAATAAATAAATAAATAAATAAATAAATAAATAAAATAAATAAATCTCTCCTAGTCATACAATATATTTTATCAAGTAGCCTCACATAGGTATATTAATAACAACAATATCTTGTAAACTGCTTTAATCAGAGAATATTTCACTTTGGTCTCAAGGACAAAAAGTCACAGCAGTTTTTTTCTAAATTTTGCCATCACAAATTCAAATAAATCATCAAATCATGAACACACCTATCAATGAAAATTGACAGACACCGATAACGAACATTTACAGCCTGGAAAACGTGTGCACAGACGACATGCATACATTAATAAACAAAGGTTATGTCAACCTGTCACCTAGGGCTGTGAGGACGCTATATCATGTAAGACAACTTATGACAATAGGGCGCCATCACAGAAAGGCCACTAAAGTCCTTTAACATACATTTAAAGGTGGTGGTTGTTTTGTCACAACCCGTTCAATATGGGACTCATACAGGTATACAGCACATGTAAAATACATTGTATGTTTACATACACGACAACCACCACCATTTAAGTGTGTGTGCTGATAATATTATACAATGTGTGCTCTAGGGTATGTAGATAGGGTATCTAACAAGTGTGATGGCATAGGTGATGAAAACATTACATTTTCCACTGTAGACATAACAGTTTTTCAGAACACAGGAAAAAATTCCTCTGTCCTGCACTATTTATATATTCACCTGATTACCAAATCTTGCCAAATGAAGAATTGTTTATCAAGATTTTCTTTAGTGTAAACAAATGTTTATAGTATTTTAGCTAATTTTGTATTTCAGATTCTAAAATCATTTTAGATTAGTTGTGTTACTTTATGTTTCTTATATTGGACTTTACTCAAACATTGTTTTTGTGTACGTTCCAAATAAAATATCCTATCCTATCCTAAATAGTAGAAGTGTGTATACGGTCAATATGCATATTTTAATGATCTAGTAGATAGATAGATATTATTAGAAATATGCTTCTACATGTGATATATTCCACAACAGTATAACAAAATATACTGTATTTAAAAGTGTACTTGAAATGAAAAGACATGTTT